AAGTGGACCACTTGGCTCTTTATCAATGTTTGAGTTGTATGACTGATGGGACTATATAGTCCTCATTCATTATTTTCTATATTGATAAAGTTTATATAAAAGGCATTCAGGTATTTTGGTTGAACTTATTTAGCAGGAGAAAACAATGGGGAAATGTTTTAGAGTACAAAAAATAATTTGGGCTGTAAAGATTTAAAGGTGTTACTATGGCTTTCTTATAGCTAATTGGTAAGTCATTTTACCGAATCAAGTCGCTCCATTTAGTCTGCTCGAGCAACAGTTTATCACGCTTTTTAAATTAGAAGGCTAGGAGTTTAGAACAGACATAATTGTATTGTGCAATCCCAAAGGAAGCTCAAGAGAAAGAGAAAGAGAGAGAAAGAGAGAACGAAGGAGGAACGGAAAGGGCGTGGGAATCGGGCAACCAACATATGAAGCTAGAAATTATTTGAAAGCCTATTTCTTTCTCCTTTCATCTTGTTTAGCTAGTTTGCTCAATATTGATTGGCTCATGGGGGGAAATTTATCTCCATATTCAACAGTTAAATTCCAGAGATGTTTTCATTTAATCTGTAACTAACTCTTTCTGCGCCATTTATCGGATTGTCCCCACCCCGCAGCTTAAATTTTGCAGGCTTGGTATCAATTCGACTCTCGTAAATTTCAATAGGGTTTCCCCTGAAGAAATGGTGAGAAGAGCGCTCAGATTAAATCACGATTTCCTACTAGTACTTTGTAAATGCAGGGGTGTACGATAGACTTACCTCCACGTGGTGCACCCTGGGCAACGTATACTCATACGGCAAAAAAGCTTATCAAACAGGCAGTTGACTTCTGACTTCAAACTACCATCACCCCACTGTTTGTCATATTCCACCACTTTCACAGTACTCACCTTACCTTTTCTCTACCTTTGTTTCTGTCTTTCTTTTGCATCTGCGAATCGCTATTCTGTTCCCCACTCCTCGCCTTTCTGCTAATTTGATGAACCTTCCCTCTGTGACACCCGAAGTCAACTATAGGGCGAATAATAACTATCAAAACGCCTGCCATTTGAAATAAATAAATACTTTGTGAATGCATGTTCCTTAAGTCTCTTCTCTTTCAAATTTTGATGACTAATGGATTCAACTTCTATACTCGAATCATTTCGTGCATGGGGAACCTTAATTTGTAGGGTTGAAGCGCTTGGTAACCAGAAGGGATGAGTTCCCACAGGGTCATCAGTTTATTTGAGTAATTAACCAGAGGCAACTTTTGGAAGCCATCGTGCATCTAATAAACAAATATTAAAAAGAATTTATTTATATCAAATGGGAGGCGTTTCGACGGTTATCATTAGCCCTTTAGTTGACTTCAGGCTTCACAGAGAGGAAGGAAAATCAAAGGGAAAATAGTCGAGATGGTGGGGAGGGGGGAACAGAAGAGTGATTTAAAGATGTAAAAGAGACAGACCGACACAAAGGTAGGAAAAAGGTGAGGTGACAAACAGTGGGGTGATGGTAGTTTGAAGTCAGAAGTCAACTGCCTGTTTGATAAGCTTTTTTGCCGTATGAGTATACGTTGCCCAGGGTGCACCACGTGGAGGTAAGTCTATCGCACATCCCATATTAAAAAGAAAGGTTTATGGATTGCAATGTGGGCAAAGAATTATAGTAGAAAAAAATTAAATAAATTTGTTCTATCTAGCTTACTGGGCTGGACTGATCACTTAGAAATTCCCCAGTAATCAACTCTAAATGATATGGAAGTATGAAGTCAATCGAAAATTCGAAAATTAAACTTTGAATTCAAACGCTCTCATAGCGGTGCGAAAGTTCAATTTCAAAGGTTTGAACTCTGAAGTGCCAGATTTTGTTACAATGAAGCGTAACTCATATCTCTCGTACATCATTCTGTGCGTAAAAATTAACAAGAAGTCCTAATAAAAGAAACCTATTGGAATGCCAGAAAATGAAGTTATTAATTGATTTCTTAGTTATAATTGTGGATAAGAAATAACTCAATAAAGTTTTGACAAAGTTTCACGAATTTGCGTTTTGGAGCTTAACCTTATTTGAAACAGGTTTGCTAAAATCATAAGTTCTTAAACGGCACATGCCATCGATTTAGTAACTATTTATCATCAAAAAATTGTTCTCAAAAATTTATGCAAAGAATCTTTTCACAGGTGACTGGAGGAAGTACGGAAAGCGCGCTCAAACGTGATAATTATGGTGGATTTCAACTGCAGACTTGGCCAGAACGTTCATGTGCATCCCATGAGTAGAATGGGCCGCTTAGCAAACTTACTGGAGATAATGGAAAGTGGAATGGACATGCTAACTATTCGCGGAAGAAGCAACCTTGATGTTGTCAACTGATTGTTTTTCAATGACCTTATAGAAGATGACATGTACGGTACCTTCTAAGACCAGGCAAGGCAAAATTAGTCACATTTCTCGATATACGGATACCCAGAAAAACAGGAGCTAACTCTAGTCCTTGGTTTTTTAAATCAATTGCCATCATTCGAACTACACTGCAAGAAAGTTACTCAGACACCTAAATCAGACAAGAATATGAGAGCGGAATAAGAGAAGCATAAATACGACTTCCAAGAAATGCTATAATGCAATGGCTTGCAATCTAATGAGGTGATACATGTTTGTACCATGATTGATAATATAGTATCCCAGAAACACCGCCCCACAGTTTAAAAGGTTGAACTAGGATTTGAAATGCATAAAGTAAGTTTGTATGCAACAATACGCCTTAGGAAAGCATCACAAAAACACTTGCTGCTTGCAAATCCTCCAAAATCCTTTGTGGAAATAAAAGATTTATAAAATGGGCTTACTTGTGAGTAGTCAAGGGAAAATTTATGTCTCTTTTGGCAGTTATCAAAGTTTTAACCAATGACGATCAGAAATAGTGGAGCCTTCTTGCACTTTCTTTTATGTCAGCAAAAAGATTTTCGGTCTTTCAATGATCATTGAGTGTTCACAATTGTTTGAAATGTTCGACAATGAGTTCGAAGGTAAAATATCTTCCGGCAAAATATGATTGTTGCACATAAATCTGTGTACACCCCCCCCCCTCCCCTCGCCTTGTACTATATATTCTTCTGAATTTGTGGAAAGTTCTGATCCTGCAGCTATGGAATACGACATTAAATGATATTCCTGAAGGGGTGTGCGATAGACTTACCTCCACGTGGTGCACCCTGGGCAACGTATACTCATACGGCGAAAAAGTCTATTAACCGGCAGTTGACTTCTCACTTCAAACTACCACGACCCCCCTGGTTGTCATATTCGACCCCTAACGCTGTACTCACCTTACCTTTTTCTCTACCTTTGTGTCTGTCTGCCTCTTTTACATCTGTGATTCGCTCTTCTCTTCCCCACCCCTCAACTTTCTGCTACTTTGATGAACCTTCCCTCTGTGAAGCCCGAAGTCAGCTAAAGGACTAATGATAAGTGTCATAAAGCCCGCCATTTGAAATAATTAAAAAATAATGATATTCCTGAATGATACTAATCTATGCGAATTCGTTGAATCGTGATGTTGTGTATATGAACGTGTTCACAGTGAATCTGACCAAATGGGTTAGGAAGTGAAAGGGTACTCGAACTTTGTCTTACCCAAGGAATTAGATGGATTTACTTACTGAAATACTGTGCATGTCATGAAATAGGTATCCGTCTAGAAACACTTCGCTACTCGGAGCCACTTCAACTACCTCGAACTTGTAATCGGGCTTTAATGAAAATTAATACGACTTTGCAATTGTAGTAAGCTTCCAATTTTATAGATTTATTTGTGGTACTATTGGAGGAAAACGTCAAAGCGAGGCTACAAAAAATTGGTCAGAGAAAGCTAAACTGTAATGTGGCCTATGACAGTTCTCATCTTAATCTGCTTGACCTTTTCAATCATTCTATAAACGATAGTTACTGCTACAACCGCCACTGCACTCACGACAGAGATGATGAACCGGCTCCCAGAGGTATTTGAAGGTTTAAATATGTCATCACAATCAGACAAATAGACAGCCGGTTTTTACGTCCTATATTTGGTGCACTTTCACGGAGTTGAATATTGAAAAAAACTAAATGCAATTTTCGGTTGCCGACGTTAGTGACACTGCTAATTTCCAAGTTTCAGGTATAAAAGAATTTTATGAACATTTTATAGAACTGAGAATGGTGGTCACGAGTAAAACATAATGAGCTAAGTCATGACGATTTCATACTTTGCTAAGGGTGGAAAACACCTAAACTATCAATTCTGGTCATCATACACAGAGCAGATATATAAAAGGATATTCAATTTCTTTAAACCCCATTGCCTCTAATTTGCAAAATATATTTTGGCTGGATAACTGACAAGAAGCAATACCACAAATTTACCCACTTTCGCTCGCATACGAAGACTAAATGAGCCGGTCACATGAGTAAAAGCGAAGCGACATAAGGTGGTACACATACCAAGCTGAAGAAGGATTGAACTGTATGATTTATTCACAATAAGAAGCTGCCTATATTTGGCAGACAAAACAACGGGGGTACATGTGTGATCTTCGTCTTTGATTCTTTACTATACCTGCCAAATTGGGAAAAGTATATATGACTGTTTCATCAATATTGGGAAGAACAACCGCAGTTTGAAGCTTTAAAACACAACCACCACTATTATAAACGAAAGTGTGAAAATTGAGCAATTAGGTTTTAGTAGAAAGTAAAAGCGGATTTTTTCGAGTGTCCACCTTAACATATTAGAAAGGGTTCATACAAAGTAAATGTAATATGTCAATGTTTATTCACAAATGAATTCTTGCACACATTTTAGAAGAAAACGCTAATATGTAACGGAAAAAGCAAAAAGGGCATTACATACACATACGCATATTAAAAGGGAAGTAATTAAAAGGAGAGGTGATAAAACATATGTAGTTATAGGAACGCGAGAAGGAGTATGAAGACGGGGAATTGGATTATCGAAATGGTCAGGTGGTGTTACTCCTGCTTGTTTGGCTTCTTCTTATTTTTAGCTAAATTAGAGATGAGAAGCTGAGTTAAACAAGACCATTAAGCACAAAAATGAAGCCAGAATTTTGAAATTACCATTAGCATTTGTAACAGTAGAATGTTTTTGTGCTTGTTGGCTCGGCTTTTGGTGTTGTTGAGGCTTTTTATTCCTACTCTTGTCTTTCTTGGATTTGCGTTTTGACTCCATTGAAGAGAACTTGATTGTAAAAACGGAAACGAGGAAGACTAGGAGAATGCCAATGAAAACCACTCCGTAGAATTGATATCGCGCAACATCAGAGAACATTTTAATAAGTGGATACACATAATACTTCTCCTTGGCAATTAGATACTCAGTGCTACACAAAGTAACAGATCAAACTAGTTTTTAATCTACTTACAGAACGACATAACCGAGGTAGTACAAGACAACCAAAGATAGGCTTCTCATAACAGGCACCGGTTTGGGGCGAGATATAATAACATCAAGAATTGCAGTCACACCAACGAGAGAGTGCTAACAAATAAATAAATTCAAAACTTACAGTGACATGCATAAGCCACACGGGCATTATATCAAATGTTTCTTTAGCCATAAGAACTTCTTTGTCGTAGAAATATAAGCCCCAGAACATAACCGATACAACAGTCGCAGTAGTTAGAGCAAAGCAGGATAGAGTACTTTTCAACTTGTTCCATTTTGTAGGCATAAAAATAATTGCTAGAGCGTAGTAAAGGACTTGAACCAACTAGGACATTATTAGCACAAAAATCATACCAGTGTATCAACTGTTAAAAACCGCGTCTGCAAAATTATATTCTCCTCGAGAGAAACTTTTGCAGAACGGGTAAAAAATATAAAATACGCAGTATATCCATAGATCGAAAGACATAGAACTCTAAAAAATAAAAGTCCCAAAGCCACAAGCATCGTCAGAGTTAAAAACTGCAAAGTTGTGACGATAGAATGATATAACCGTGATTAATTAAAAGAAATATGATTTTATAAATAGGTAAAAGTAACATCATCAATAATAAGGTTAAAAAGGAAATATTTTTGCTCACAATATTTTCTAGCTCCAAAACTTTGAAATTTTTTATTTAAGCAGATAAAAACAACAAATGATGAATTTAAAAATGGAAAGAATGCATACGATCTGTGCAAATCAGAATGATATGATAACCGAAATAATATAAAATCATTCACTATTTAGGTTATTTAAAGCAAGAAAGGACCTATTTACCTTTTTATTTGCTTAATAATATGTATATATAATATTGTTCAATCGTGGAAAGCATTCCCAAATTCTGGTCTTAAATGTAAAGTAAAGATATTGTAATCCCCCCAACCATATGCATATATATGTAAATAGCACTTTTATTTAATAAAATATACCAAATAAATAGCTAATATGGCTATATATCTTAATTTGACTGCAGAATATTAACTTTTCGGATAATAATGGAGTATTAATAAAAACTCTTTAATTGTATTAAAGAATTATTAATAAATTTAATTCTCCAATTGATAAATCCCTGATAAAAATATTTTGGATTAGGTCGTTTTAACTATCGATTAATTGAGCGCCACAGAAATCATATTTGAAAATGCGAGACAAGTGGCGTAAGAAGCGTGTTCGTCGCCTAAAGCGAAAGAGGAGGAAGATGAGGCAACGAAGCAAGTAGACGTGTAAATTCCATTATCATTCCTACAATAAATTTGTGCTATTGGATGTACTTTTTTTCTGAACTCATACTGCGTGGTTATGATCTATTTTACCGTATTTGGCAGAGATATCCGGCCTTAATACTAGACTTTCTGAAATAACTCAAGTGGTGGGTTTCTTTATTTATTAAAGCCGTCTTATTTTCGTGGCTAACATGGTATACTTGTGCTGGAATCGATTTTCGGTGGGACATTTGAGTTGTCTGTCGTATCTTTTTCGTGTTAGTTATTGGGGGATCACTTACGTGTAGCCGATGAGCTCACAGCTTCGTTTGAGCGGCCTAGTGTTGGACTACTTAGCTTCTGTTTTATGATATAGTTGAATTGTGTTCTTCCTTTTTCCCATTTTTAGATGCTTAATAGTAAATGAATACGCATGGCCACTTGTGCACCAGTTTTGTCTACAAGCGATGTCATTTGTGCCACTGACTGAGATACGAATCTTAGTTAGTGAGATATTTTTATCCGCCTTAATTTTTCACTCCAGTGCTTTCCAAAGACTTTTCTATTTAATCACAGCTTGTGAATATGGGGAAGATCGATGAACGCGAGTTTATTTTAGGCATGCCGAGTTCGGAAGATTCGTCTTCCTCGTTTAGTATAAAGTCAATTCAGTAAGCAAAGTCTGGTTAAAAGAATTTGATCGCTATGAATTGTTTTCGCATAGAAAAAAACGAACTAGGGGCTTTTTTCGAATTTTAGGCAAATAAGCCTTGACTAGACCTTGGTTGTCTCTATGTTAAAGTCCCATAATTAGTGGAGCTACCTCAACTACACCGAGGAAATGGGGCGAGTCAATTGGAAGGCACGTGTTGTAGTTATGATGTTACTGGTACGGAGCCTAATCACTAAATACGGTCTTAAACAAGATGTTCAAAGCACATTTCAGTGGATGATGCCGAGCATGTAAATGAGTATTAAGATGCTGGTCAAGTCCGCACAAATGGCGACATAACCTCTCGAATTTCGCTGGATTTCAATAGCCGAATTTGTAGGAAAGTAAAGTTTCTCATACAAAGAATTGACTTAATGCTGACGTGAAGATAATTTGCGAGAGTGAAAATATGGTTTAAATGCAGAAACCTAATTACGTCTGCATTTTTGATACCGTTGAGACGACTTAACAAGTTAGAGTGCCTTACTATGCTAGAACATCTTGCCATAAGGATAAGTAAAGGCTTCAATTCTCGATCTATGCAAAAAGAAAAGTTAAATCCTCCTATCTCGATGATTTAAAATGGAATAGAATGTCTGTAATGCCTAGGATAATACGTTGTGCAGAAATCTTTTTTAGCGAGTACAAAGTTAGGTAGTTCTGCCCTGATAATGTAATAGTTTTAAGTCCTATCTTTTATGGAATCCAGTGCAGGTTTCCTTCATTGGCATGAATTGGTTTAGGTTTTTACAAACGTTCATTTGGCCTGATAGCAGTTTTGCAATGAGAACGTGTTATACATAATATCATATATTAAGTTCAACCAGAACCATACTCGTTACTAAAAAATTAAATCTTTGAGGTCAAGGCCATTGGGTTTCGATCCAAAAGCAAGTGTGAAGAATTTACCCGGAAATATGGTGAGAGAGTCATCTAAACTAACTCTAGTCACAAGTTGAAGACTACGCGACTCTAGGCTTAATTAGGAACCACTGCCATTCCAAAACAATTGCTCAGGTCTACATGACCCTCCCACCTATGGTTACAACCGGGGTAGATGCGACCGTCTAGATCAAGACTCGCAATTCAAAGGGCAAACACAACCGACCTTCAGGAAACCAACACGAAGAACCCTTACAGTGCCGGTTGCTTAAAGACGTGGCTTAATAATGTTGGTCTTATCATTGAAGACATAATATAAGAAATCAATGGATTCGTTTACTTAGAGATATCACTACACGAATAAAGCATTATTCTAAAAAACTCAAATACGAGACCTAGGTGTGCAATTAAAAGCAAACTATACGTAAAGCAATTGCAAGCCCGACAGAAATACATTCTGGAAACCTTCAAATAACAGGTCGCCTGTAGGTAACGACAAGAACCCATCCCCACAGAATACGCAAGAAATTTAGTAAAAAGCTAAAGCCAATATCTGGTTAACCACTTTACAAAATGCCCATTAAACTAAGAACTGCTGAAAAACAATCTTTTCACTGTGCAACAAGGCAAACACCACGACCCTCAAAAGCAGCTCATTTCTTGAACCTACCCAACTGATGACGGCCTACAAACAGCATTCTACATAAGTAGACCCGCAAATAAAAATGCCATGACAAACCAAAATAGAATAAACAATGTCAAAAGACCGTAAGTAAAGCCAAATTTTTAATGTAAGGACAAGTAAACTTTACAATAGCAACTCAAACACTTGGAACGAGGAATTTACTTACTCCTCTGCCTCATCTTCCTCCTTTTACGCTTGAGACGGCGAACGCGCTTCTTCTTCCACTTATCTCGCATGTTGACAATGCAATTATGGCGCCTGGAGTACTAAAACAACTTGTGATTAAATGTCAAAATTTCTAAATCTAAATAATACATTAAAAACCATTCCTCGAAACGCAAATTTTCTTTCATAATTGGTTTTATATCTGGTTTGCAGTTTTTTTAATTTTTGAAATTTTATCATTTATATTATAATGCTGCTTTTCATATACAACCATATTTAATATGCTGATCCCATTATTTGCTTAATATATATTTTTATAAGGCACAAAAACGACCCTTTATAAAGTAAAACATTCATTAGTTTCATGAATTAACTGCATTTCGTTAGTAATTATGTTATTTTAGATTTTCTTTGCCTGAGCTCTATTTTATTACCAGAGGCATTTTTATAAATTATGTAAGACAAAATTATGAAATCATAGTTTTTATAAAGGAAAATACATCATTGAAAATAATCCACCTGAATTCCATTTGTATTACATAAATTCAAAGTTATCTTATTTTCGACGGAATTATTTGCGTCCCTCCAAATTTTATATTATTATTTTTTTAAAGTGAAGTGAACTTTTGAACCATATAATCACTTACATTTTGCTAATTTTTATTTAATGCATGGATGTTTGACCCAAACGTAATGATTTTCTTCTATGGCCACTCTTTTATCATGCAAACTATTTGTCACTCCCTCTAGGTAATTAAAATTCATTAAGTCCTTTCATTTTAGTAACTATCACTTTACTATTGCCGAAAAATCAAAAAGGGGCAGGTAAGCGAAACCGTAGTTTGCCTTTAATTTAGTAAAGGAGCAGTTAGTTTCGACAAATTCATTTTTTCATCAGATTATATATTGCTTATTTTCTCCTATAAAAAGGTGTAATTGGAGGGATAATGATATGACTTCGGATTTACGGCACATCTGCCTCTATTCCCCTATTCACTCGTCTTCTTGAATTATAACCTTGTGAATTCCTGTGGACATATATTGATTTGAACTCCATATAGATCGCATGGCGATAGTAATATAGAGAATGGACAGTGATGCGGGAATGCACATTTGATTAGGTTTTCTCAGTGGTTAAAACTTATATTATATATTATTTTAATAGAAGTAAAAGGTAAATTAATTTAAGCGTTAGCCAAAACAACATTTCATAATAATAAGAATAGAACGAAGACAAGGCTAAAATGTTTATTAATATTATTACTAATCAAAAGCTCAAAATAAAATAACTCTGAAAAGTTATAATCCACTATAATGTGTATTTTTTGACAAAAGTAATTTGTTTGTCAAGTTTTAATGGAACTTCTATTCAATAATTAAAAATCTAGATTTCGTCACTTGGTTCTTCTTCTTCTTCCACCTCTTCTTCCAAATCGTGAGATGAAGTTTCAGAATCTTTGTCCTCTTCCATCGCCTTCCGAGCCCGCTCTGCTTTTTTCCACGCCACGAATTCACGTTCTGCTAGCTTTTCAGTGACATCTTTAAGTAAAACGGGCCAGATTCTTTCCGTCAGCTTGTTTGATGCCTCAATGGATTTCGTCATCGTCAATACCCTTTGCCTCTTCATTTCTGCCTGTCTTTGTTTTTCCTCATCCTCTACACGCATCCGTTCACTCTGAAATAATAATGAAAAGTTAATTTATGCAGACGTGTAGCAGAAGGATCCTTCAAATTATTTACTAATACCAATCGATTAGCCCGACAATAACTCCAATTGCCACTATACCAACGGTTTACATCTTAATACTCGAGTGTTTTCCCAATGTCCCAGCAACTTACCGATTTACAGTCTTAAGCTAATTCTCTTTTAGACTTTATGAATTAACCTGCCGGAAATTGGTGAGGTAGCGTCCTCCAACTTTGGCAAACTTTTAGCTCCAATTGAACACACGCCTATCGCACTTGTTCTGTGTTTTTTTACAAGAATGTGTTTCCCTAAGTATATCTGATCAAAATACCATTTTCATGACTTTCGCCACTTTTTCATAGCAGTTTAGTGATTATCACTGTTAGGCGCGATTGATAATTCACAGTGTGACTTAAATACCTGGCTGCTACGTAGCCACTGATGAATTCTTGATAAGCGTATTCGAGATGTAGCTTTATCCAGGCATCTTCGTGCTGAAAGTCCAAACTGTAATAAAGCATCTTAATTCGCCTAACTTAACAACCGAATGCCATCTTCCTCTTACATCACCAGAACAAAGTAAGTCACAAAAGTCAACGGATACTAATAATAAGAATTCAGCCCAGTAGATATAATAGACGAAAAAGCAAAGTATTATGTCTTTGTAGAGTTTATGCAGAGAATTCAAATAAAATGTCCACTCGTACTTGCTTAGTTAGATGATAATAACCACTCAAATATTGAGTTATCAAGGGTATTAAAACAACATATAGGAATCATATTTTCCTAAAGTGAACTTTCTATTTTAGTAGCTAGCCAAACATAATATCTTCGGAAAGAAAATATGTCATCTTTTCAACGTAAAGATAAAAGTTTCATTAAGTCAACGAAGAAACACTTACCTTCAGGAAAAATTTCTCTTGACGAATTGCGCGTTCAGCTTGTAATTGTATGTTAAAAGGTATTAGCTCTGCCATTATCTTATTCACCTCAGTGATGGCTAATTCAGGCTAAAGAATGGAGCAATGAGAAGCTCAAATAATTTAATTTTTGTCAAGCAAAATTTATGGGCAAAATATTTGCCAAGCAAATCATCGCCTTTCAATATAAATTAAACAAATTTACTGACAAGAATTTCACATACGTAACAGTTGTCTCTGAATTTCACAGCCCAATTCTTTAAATAAGTTGCCAAAAAGTAAATAGGGTCAAGTGGTTGATAAAGGACAATAGCTGTTAGAGCATCTTTAAGAGGTTTGCCTAAAAGGCGTTTAATGTATTCACTGTCCGAATGTTCCATTGATTCGTTTGACTTAATTTGACTCAATTAAGCTGTCTAATAAAATAGGTCGATAAAAAGACGAATTAACATGGAAGCGTTATAAAGCTGCTTGATTTGCAAGTCCATTAGAATATTTAATTATTTTATTGATTTAGTAATGGATACCAGAAATGAAATTTATTCCATTTAAGTCATAGCATTATTACACACACACACACACACACACACA